GTTTAAAATGTTACCCCTCACCAGGAAGAACTAAAAGCGAAAGAAGAAAAGAGGCGGAATAAAAAGGTAAAGTCGCCTAAAATCTTCCCGGAGGGAAAAGAGACGGAGATTCCAAAGGAAACACACCAAGACAGGCTACTTCGGCACCTCCGATCTCGTTTACGTCCTTTGGCAAGGTAACCTTGTGTATTGATGGCTTTCTCTAGCTCAGTGAAGGATCAAAGACCTTTTGTAGGTTTTTTTTATACTCTATACACTATCATGAATAGTTCCATTGTAAAGTGATTATGATAATAACATGTACACCCCAAAACTGGGCGTTCTGAGTTTTCTCAGTTTGGTTGTTGGGATCCTGTAGATTTTTATTTGTAACTTCTGATGGGTGTTTGCCTAGGCTTACTCAGATAACTTAGGTGTATACGCAGTCTGAGGTTTGTTTCGTCCTGCTGACCGGGTGTCCTGCCGATGATAACATTCTCGTTTATAAACTTAACGAAAACTGCGTACGGTACTTTCGTAAAATTGGAACCAAATTCGGAACCAACATATCAATATTATTGATATGACGGCACATGGCCCTTTTTATTTATGTTTTTTGAAGATCACAAAATGAAGTAGCCTATTTTTACCAAAATTCCATCATCTATTATTTTCATATCACAAAGAGGACGGACAACTGTCAGTTCTAAGTGAACATGTAATACATTTACTTCCTTTAGTCTACCCCCATATAAGATAAATATTATGATATCATGCATGACTATGACAGGAAAACCGTGGTTCGAATCCACAAGCTTGGTCCTATAGAAAAAAATAAAGATGCTAAAGTCGGGGGTCCAATCCCAAAGATAACATGTACCTGTATTACCTGTCATGGACAACAACGTCATTGCACACCCGACAGGTCCATAAGTGCTCAGTTCCTCTCAGCACTGAAGCCCACAAGGTATCCATACTGATTGTTCCTGTGGCTGTCTGATTATGGCGACGTCTTTCCTTTCCAGATAATCGTTCCTTTCTGCCTTCTCATAATTATGCTACTGGAATTGCAGCAGTGTCAGGCAAAGAGGTCGAGACCTGGAAAAGCTTATCTAATCTCTAAGAATAAGATATAATTTCTACAGTGTTCACGGAGGCTTTATCCACTTGCATAACAATTCAGTCACCACTCAAAATACTTCTGCTGGAGAAATACCGTAGTACAAATATAATGGTGCCAAATTGACAGACAGTAACCGCCAGCTATTTCCATCGAAGGCACCCTGTGTTCGGCCCCAGACTAGACCAGAGCGACAACGCCTTGATCAAATGGCTCGACGCAGCAGAGAACAACGTCTTTCTTGCCGCCAGCAAAATCCGGAAGTGCCTCGAGTTCCGCCGAGACATGGAGCTGGATGACATACTTGTGAACTTCGACCCACCTGGAGTAAGGCCTCCCTTTGTCTTAGGTTTGATTTTAACAGTCAGTCTTGGGGCAGACCCCCCC